CTGGTGGGGAGGGGTGGGCAGGGAGAAAAGTGCAGCAATAAATGAATGGAAATCCAAAACCTCTGTAAAAAAAAAAAAAAATAAAAAAAATTAAAAAAAAAAGCCAAACCAACAAACTTACCTCTAACTTCAATCTCAGAGATGTAAAATACTGAAATTTTTAGTATACGGTCCAATCATAACATTTATAGTGTGTATAGGAGAGAACTCATGGGATTTGATGAAAAGGAAAGCTGTTTGTGACTCCTTGTACCATTTACATCACCAGAATGCTGTTTTGTAGTGGTCACCACTTTTGTTCTTCAGAAGGAATGCGATGACTTACCTTATTAGGTAGACTTCACCAGGACTTCGGAAGCATACATATCTTGACTCTTGTACATTTCTACTTTGTAATGAGAGGTTGAGATGACAGAGGTACACTTGCAAGGATATGTGGCTGTGGCTTTAGTTCCTCTGTTCTGCTCTTTGTGTAGGAGTGCAGAAGAAAAACCAACTGTAATATATTTCAAAGACTTGGAATTGACAAAGAAATGGTATCTTTCTGATACTAGGACAAAACCATCCCCCATCTGTCTAAATTAAATAAAGCTTGAAACCAATAGAAAAAAGTGTGCAGTGTATATTTTGTAATTTACGACAAGACAATAAAACAATGGACTATGTATATATATATATAGATATAGATAGATCTCTCTTAGGCACCATAATCAATATGAGCCAACAATATTTAAACTTGATTCAGGGCACATTCAGACATTTGTTCTTATTTACAAATATTTAAATTAAATACAACCTGAAATGTGTTTTCTTACGTACAAAACCCAAAAACTATACAACTCAGAGCAGTGGTTTGTTTGTTTTTCTTTTTTTAAATAATTTACACATTTAAACTAAATGGAGTCACTTGTGGTGCTCAAGTTTTTATCACCCCTTCCAGAAAATCTTTCTCTACCATTTCTTCTATTTTTTGCCTGGCTTTGCTGGAAAATGGTTTGTGGTTCTCCAGTTTGATGTCCTTATTAGGAAAGATGTTTGAGTAGAGGACGGGGCTCCCTGAGTGGCCTGCACTTCGGCTTGTGACCTTGCTGTTAAAGACCTGGCTGAGGACATTGAAAAACGGCAGGAGCTGCTCAATACTCCGTACAGTACAGACGGTGAGCAGCAGGCGCCCCGGCTCCCAACCCAACGTCCGCCCTGAGCTGTCTTCCTCTGGGGTTTTCTGTAGAAACAAAAACAAACAAAATAGCAACTGATGAGGAATCACATTATAAACTTGATAGAAATAGCAGGTAAAAGCTTTTGCTTCAACTGAGGACTTTTGGTTCCATTATTAAGTACATTCTTTGTAAAGAAGTCTGACATTACTAATCTTTTCTACTCAGGCTGTCCATGCAAACATAACTTAATAAAATCGGTGGGGGCAGGCACAGGGAGAATCAAATAATACTGTTTATGTTGTGCTTTGTATATACTCAAAAAGCTTCCATAATTTTGGACTACTAGGTCACAAAATGACTATTTAAGAATCTGGGAGAAGATGAATTACTTGTACCATTAGTAAATGAACTCATTCTTTTTTTTTTTTTGAAAGCTAAAGCAGCTTTATTAATGGGCTCCCGGGCAGGATCCCTTGGTCTGGAGAGACAGACAGACTGGGAGAAAACGCCAAACCCATTCTCTTTGAATTAAATGACAGACTCAATTCAAGAAAGTCTCTCTCTTCATTGCCGTTGAGTTAGAACTGACTCCTAGCTGACCCTCCAGTGGGTTTCACTGACTGTAAATCACACAGGAGGAGACTGCTCATCTTTCTCCTGTGACCCATTAATTTTTGCCACCTAGCACAAAGAAACAATGGCAGGGGAGAAACTCTGCCCTGCAGTGATAAAGAATATGGGGAGAAACCCAAGCTGGAGTCATAATCATTTGGTTAGTGTCCTGGCACTGCAGTTTACCTGGAGCATGTAAGTGGGCCTCACTTAGCAATGAGGAAAACTGACTAATCTCAGGCTCACAATGTCCAAGCCAAATGAGAATACATTTGGAAACTGTTGTCTAAATATAAATAAACCTAGAGATTCTTTGATGAGGTCAACTAAATGTTACCATCAGCTGTAAACAGTCTATACAGAAAGATCATGAGGTGCCTAGAGATTTTCAACTTTGGCAGAATCAGGAAAATTACAATATGCTAAATAAAAGAACAAAGTGGGTAAGAAAATCATTAAATGAGACTTAGGAAGCAGAGTTACAGTTTGTAAACTGGAGGATTGTGCCTTGTACATGCCAATGCTGCTGAAATGTTTATCTCATACTAATGTCACTAGTTTCCTAATGAAATAAATGTCTGCAAAGGATAGCTTATTTTCTGTGTGTGTTTGCAAGTTTTGTTTGCATTTACACATTACAATTTTGGGAAAGGAAAACAGACTTAAGTCAAAACAGAAGCCTTCAGGACACAACATGAGAAGATCACTTAGTTCTTTATCCATGACCAAAAATTTAAAAAAAAAAAAATCCCCACCCATAACTCCCCTTAACACTTTATTTCTTAGCAATTATTCAACCTCCAGCCTAGATTATAGAATGCATTTATCTCTTCCTTTTTCGTATCCAACACATTAAAGAATCCTGGCTGGCTTTCCCATCCCTGGCTACCATTCAGTGACTGACCACACCACCTGTAGTTCCTTACATCAGATTGTGTAAACAGTAATTAGCAGGTATGCAGAAAAGCCTGGGTGGCACAGATGGTTAAATGCTTGATTACAGCTGGAAGGGTGGCAGTTTGCACTCACCCAGAGGCCCCTCAGAGGAAAGGCCTGACTGCTGCTCAAAAGTATCCATGTCACAAATAGGCTTGACATGACTTGGAACCAGCCCAGAGACAGCTAAAATGTAGGTCTGTGAGAAATGTATTTATGCTGACTGTGAAGGAATAGCTTGTACCATATACATAAAGCTAGTATCCAATTATAAGAGGATTATATTTTTATTTTCTTCTTACTGTTCCTGTCAGTATGTGCCTTTTAGACTACACACTTCTCTAGAGTGCTCCCGTGTTCCAGCTTCTTCATTGTAACTACATCCACCTCAGAAAACCCAGACGTGTTCCATGCAGACTACTTCTGACATCCTTGGTCTGCATTTGAAGACTGACTTCCTGTTTACCTCACTCATGGTTGTTGAATCCAGACCTGAGTTTGTGCCTCAGTATCTGGTCTAGATGTTGCAGCATTTGCTGCTGTATCACAAGCATCAAAAAGCCACCCTCACCTGATGCTTGGTCATCTCCAATCCCTCCAAAATCACTGCCTTAAAGTCCTCCTCCTTGTCCTGTGGAAGGAAAGAGGAGAACTCACATCCTTTATTCCAGTGACATGTATGGCTGGCCATGAAGACCTTGTTTATAGTGATCTGGATGGGAAAATGGTTTCCATTCACAATACTTTATTCTTACTCTGGAACAAGTTTTGAGCAAAAGGTAAGTATTATAAAAACTCAATACTTCTATGAGATGGAAAGGATAAAAAAAATCCATGTGCCTGCAGTCATTTATCCTATTGCCAAAGATCTGTTGTCATGGGTACTTTTTCCAGACACCTAGAAATTCTATCCAGGGTATTTGGATCCAAACTGCCCCCTCATTTTATTCAATCCCTCAAGAAGATACTGGCACATTAAGTCCACTTCCTTGTGTCTTTCACATACAGCCTTCTGATTTAGTACAGCTCAGAGCTGCTGTCTGAATGTGCACTGTAACAGACTGGAAAATTCCAGAGCAATCAAAATACCTACCAGGACTCACAAACAATTAGATCAACTGAGAATTAGACATCATTTCTGAAAATTTCTGAAGGCCAGAGAAAACATGATAAGAGTATTGATTGTTTTGGAGAGCTCTGCTGTCCTAGTGGCAAGAAGCTGTACTGCAATCCCAGAGGTGAGTGGTTTGTATCCCATATGCTCTGCTGGAGGAGGGACAATCTTCTGTACTGGTCAGATCCAATTTGATGGTATACACGCACGTGTGCATGCGTACACACACGTGTACACACACACACACACACACACACAAATTTTTTTAAAAAGTGTTGGTTTGGTTTTTTTTAAGGGTCTACTAATGGGCAAAAACTATAACTTGTTGCGTCCTGAAAGATTTAAAATATATAAGCTATGATATAAAAGATATTTTGCAAAGTTTATCCTCCAGAGCTCTGGTGGCACAGTGACTAGAAAGCTCAGCTGTGAACCATGAGAAGTCTGAACTTCTCAGCTGCTCTAGGAGAAAGGTGGGGCGTCATGTGTCCTATAGCCTTCAGAGGCCTCGTGAAGCAGCTCTACTCTGTTCTGAAGAGCTGCTGGCTTTAAACTGACTAGGTGGTACAGGGGTTGATTCGGTTTTCTTTTCTTTAGATAAATTCTTCCAGAGCCCTGGAAGGTACAGCTGCTGAACATGCTGCTAACTGAAATGCTGATGGTTCATATTCCTCAGCTTCTCCACAGGAGAAAGACCTAACAGTCACTTGGAGAAAGGCACCATCTTGGAAATTCTGTGGGCAGTTCTCATCTGTCCTATGGGTCACTGTAACTGTGAGCTGGGATGACTGGCTAGTGATGTTTGGTTTCATATACTGTAGTCCCTTTATTACAATGGGGTATGTTCTAAGACCCCAGTGGATGCCTGAGACCATGACTAGTACCGAACCCTATATATATTTTCTCATATATGTACATTCCTATTATTGTTTCTAAATTAGACCCAGTAAACAAATAATGATTAACAGATTGGTAGCACAGCATGTATATGCTAGACAAAGGCTGAGCCAGTGGAATTTCATCACACTACTCAATCTTAGATTGTGGTTGACCTCAGGTAAGAGAAACCTAGAAAAGGATAAAAACCTTAACGGCAAATGTTTTTATTTCATTTTTCCACTTGAAGGATGACCTTCATTGCATACAAAGAGGTAAATAGCAGTGTTTTAAGAAACATAGGTTGAGCGTTCTGGAGATCTATTTAATGAGTCATATCAACATTAACAAAGAACAGGAACCATAGAAAAGAAAATATGTAACTCACTTGTTAAGGGCAAACTGTCTTGTGAGAAATGTTAAATTTAGTTATATAGCTGCACTGAGTTAGGATCTGAAGTATTTTATTATAGGTCAGATGAAAAATGAAACACACTGAAAAAATAGGTTTCTAGCATTCCAATTGGGAAGGAGGACATTAGTAATTTCTCCCTTTATTATGATTGGTGAAATACAACTGCCAAGTTTATTTTAAAATGTTAAGACATACAATCTCCTTACTCACCAACAAATGGACAGTGACACTTACCCAGTAATAAGTTCTATTAGTAGGGGAAGGTATGTTCTAAATATCCCTTTTATCATTGCATTTTCCCTGTTTCTCTTCATGGCATTTTGGATAGATATTACAGGTATATTAAATTCTCACCTGTTACTAAGTAAATCTTTTAGGACTTTTAATACTGTTATATGTTTATGTGGTTTCAAAGGTTTTCTTTTTGACAGGAATAGATTAAAGTTATTTAGATGTTATTAATATTCACAAAATTTTCTTTTTAAGAATTGAAAGGTATAAAAATAAATAATTTAGGGGGAGAGAGTATTAAAATCCATCATGTCAACTTTCAAATGGTTTCTCTGATGTTCAGTTTTATGTAAAGACCTTAGAATCCATAAAAATATTAATATATGTACCTATTCAGAATTAAAATGAAATTTTCTAGGGTTTTTATGAAGGCAAATGTACCTCCTACAGTTTCATAATGTTGGATATTAAAATTAAAAGTTAATGTTCTCAGCTAACTAAAGAGCATCTTAGGTTAGGTATGTTATTAAGTGCTGTCGAGTCGCTTGAGACTCATAGTGACCCTATGTACAACTGCCCTGAACCCTGCTCTATCCTATGCCAACTTTACTGTCTCTGACACACCTACCCTCATTACCCTAGTAACTCAAATCAATCCATCTCATCGAGGGTCTTCCTCTCTGTCTGTTCCGACACCCTTCCAAGCATGATGTCCTTCTCCAATGACGGATCCCTCCTTACAACGTGCCCAGAGTATGTCAGATGAAGCCTCAGAATCCTTGCCTCCAGGGAGCAGCCAGGTTTCACCCTCTCTAGGATGAACCTGTTTGTTTTCCTTATTGTCCATGGTATATTCAATACTCTTCTCCAGCACCACAGCTCAAAGGCATCAATTCTCCTTCTCATTCCTAGTCATTGTCCAGCTCTCTGAAACGTAGCAAGCAACTGTGAAGACTATGGCCTAATCAGCTGCACCTTAGCCTCCAGGTTGATGTCGTTGCTCTTCAGTACTCTGGAGAGGTCCTTGACAGCCGAATTTGTCTCTTGATTTCCTTTCCAAGAGTGTTGACTGTGGAGCCAAGCAAACTAAAGCTGTGAACAATCTCAGTCTCCTCACCATCTATCAAAACACTGCCAAACGACCCAGTGGTGGGAATCTTTGTTTTCTTGATGTTGATCTTCTATCCATATTGAAGACTGCAGTCCTTGATTTTCTGCAGCAAGCGCTTCAGGTCCTCCTCAGTTTCAGGAAGCAGGGTTGTGTTATCTGCATAACACAGGTTGTTGATGGATTTTCCTCCAATCTTGATGCCACATTCCCCCTTGTACAGCCCAGTTTCCTGGATAATCTGTTCTGCATATAGATTGAAAAGGTATGGCGATAGGGCACATCCCTGGCGTATGCCCTTCCCAATTTTGAACCATGCAGTGTTTCCTTGCTCTGTTCTGATGACTGTGCCCAGGTCCAAGTGTACGTTTCACATAAGCACAATCAAGTGTTCTGGAATTCCCATTCTTCTCAGAGTCAGCCACAGACTGTTGTGATCCACACAGTCAAACACCTTTGCATAGTCAATGAAACACATAGACATTCCTCTAGTACTCTGTGTTCAGCTATAATATCTGTAGTATCATAGCCTCTTCTAAACCCAGCCAACACATCACTCAGTTCTCTGATGCTGTACTGCTCCAGTCATTTTTGGATAATTTTCAGCAGAACTCAACTTACTCTTTTTCAAAAGGGAGGAAATCAGTATGTCAAGCCAAAATGAAAAGGCTGTCAAAAATTGGTTATGGGCTGAGTTGCTTAAATCAGTACATTGTTAGCAAGAATGAGAATTGCTCTCCTATCAATAGTTTAAGATCAATATGGTAAGCAACTATTCCTTTAAAAAGAATTCTTTTTAAAGTCTGGAAATAATAAGATCATGGAGGATTCTCCTCTCCCCAAATATTTTAATTTTAAAATGTCTCCAGTTTCTCAGGGGCTTCAACAATTTTTGTAGTTACATAAAACAAAATCAAATAAATGTTAATACCTTTGCCCTTTTCCGAAGAAGTTTTGCTAGTCGTACTACATAAGGTTTAAATTCTCGTTGATGTATGCCTTGCCTTCTGACTTCCAAACCTGAATCATCGGAGGCTTCCGGAATAAAGGCCCATCGGTACCTGTGCAGAGAAGAATGCAATTAGCATCAATAAGACCGATTCTGTGCTGTCCAGGAGGGGGCTACATGCCGTAGATCATGGATCCACCAAGAATGTGGATTAAAACTGTCAACCTTGCTACTTGTAGCCCTGGTAGCCTGGACATGTTTCCAAGATTTTTTGAGCCTTTTCTTCATCTGTGTGAGAAACTACAATTCTTCACTACCTTACAGGACTAATTAGTAGGAGAATATGTAAATTTTTGTAAAGTACCATGTAACACATATGGTTCTATAATAAAGAAGATATGAGCACAAAGTGCTCCACGTTTCCTTCCATAATAGTTAAAGGGCAGAAAATCCTTAAATGTACATTACAATCATTTAGCATATTTATAACACAGTATGACAAGGACTTGATTTTCCAACATGTTACACATTGAGGGTAAAGTGCTAAAAGAATTTAAGTCAGTGACATTAATTATGTTCACTATTTTGTATAACAGCTTTTTAAACTCTTATTTTTCAATCGTTATGAATCAAATAGTACAATGAAAGAAAGAATGACCAAAATACTGTCTCGCTCAAGCGAAGAAGTGAGAAAGAGCTGTTCTTTGTGAAGCGAGGTTGGAAACTACTTCATGACCTTTTCTTCTAGTAATAATATTGTCTAGTAATTGGAGTTGCAGTATATAAAAAGTCAATACAGTAAGCATACTATTTCATACTGTTCTTAGTACAGAGGGTACATTTCTATCACCTCTGCGAATATAAATCTCCTCGTGAACTTTGACCACTTCCTGCAGTTCCTTTTAGTAGTATTTTCTGAACTTGTTCAAGCCTGCCACGGTGCTAACAAATATTCAATCACTGGAATTTCTCCAGAATAGATAGATGTACATGGTTTTCAAATAAGGGGAGAAGATAACTGATATAGTCTCTAGTTCTTACTGTTATTCTGAACATTAAAAAAGCTTGCAAAATACTAATTTTTAGAGATTTAAGCATGTTCAAACGTATTAAAAAAATCTGATGTCTTGCCCTTTAATATACTACTTCAGAAGAATAATGCATTATACCAATTTATTTTTGATCTTGTGGATAAAACTTCAAATTAGGTACATTTTGATAAAAGTTTATTGTAGTTTACCTATAATTTTTTAAAGTTTGTATATTTAAATAAACTACTTGAACATTCTTGAGTATCTAAGAAAAGGGAATTGTAAGCCTTCTCGTTAGGCCAATTCACTATCATCTTACAGAAAACATCCTGAGTTCTGGTCCTCCCTTTTCCCAGTGCTTTCTTCAGTGTGTATCTTTTGCTCTTTCTCTCACTGCCATTAATATCCCTGGTACCACAACTTCTTCTGAAACCAGCTTGAACTTCTGGTAGTTCCTGTCTACGTGCTGTTCTAGATGTCTTTGAACTATCTCCAGCAGTATTTTGCTTGCATGTGATACTAATGATACTGTTTGATAATTTCCACATTCTGTTGAATCACCTTTCTTGGGAATGGGAACAAATATGGATCTTTTCCAGTCAGTTGGCCAGGCAGCTGTCCTCCAAATTTATTAGCATAGACTTGTGAGCACATCCAGGGCTGCATAAGGTGCACCTGATTCAGATCATGGTCTTTTCTATCACTTGCTATATGCCTCTGAGATACTGGATAACAAATAAGGATGACAGAAGAGAAACTGATGCCTTTGAGCTGTGGTGTTGGAGAGGAGTATTAAGAATGCCAAAAGAACAAATATCCTTGGAAACAAAGATGGCGAAGCTGTGTTTCACATACTGAGGGCATGTTGCTAGGAGAGGATATTCCCTGGAGAAGGACATCATGCTTGGAAAGGTCAAAGGCTGGCAGAAAGGAAGACCCTCAACCAGACGGACTGAGCAGTGGGCTCAAGTGTGTCAAAGATTATGAATGGCATCAGACAGTCCTGGGTTCAAGGCATATTCGTGGGCTTGCTATGAGTCATACTCAATGGCACCTAACAATATTGAATTAGAACTGACTCACAGCTGATCCTTCATTGAGTTTCTGAGGTTACCAAGTGCCCAGAAAAAGACTGCCTGTCTTTCTTATGGAGATTTAAATTACCAGAGATACACTGTCTTCGGTTAGCAATGCAGTTCCCTACAGACTGTAGGGAACCAGAGCTTCCCCTTCACATTGTGTAGCCAAGATAAACTTTCTACTGTTGACTCCTTATAAAGGTTCAGAAAGATATCCTTGGAATAAAGTTCAAATCCTTTAGATTAGCTTATAAACTCTTACATGATTTGCCCATGTCCAGCCTCTTCTCTCAGTTCTCTGCTCTAACAATTCTGATCTTTCAATACTGAAGACACAGCAACTCCACTGCAGCTTCTACTCACATCTCACTCCTTACTCTTCACCTCAGTTTAAACTTTCCTGAGAAGCTCTCTATTCTGTCCCTCACAGGAAGGACTCTTATGCAGCCTAAACACCCTGTCTGTCATCTTCTAGAACATGCATTCTGTTTAACTGCACATCATCACTAAATTAAAAACTTCTGACTTTTATATACACCAAATGCTTTACATTCAGTAAGGAGCCCTGGTGGTGTAGTACATAATGAAACTGAAAGACTCACAGTTCAAATGCACTAGCTATTGAGGGAGAAGGCCATGGAAACATGATGGAGGGTTGCTAAGGTCAGAAATTACTGGACAGCAGTTAGTGTGGTTTGCTTTGGGTTCACACAGAGTGAGCATTCACTTTGATAACTGAATGGTCTGCTAATACATACACATGAACTTGGTGTAGCTTGTACTGATGTACACTGCTGAAAGGTCAACCTTTCAGCGTAAATTCAACGGAAGCTCTGAGGGAGAAAGATAGGCAGTCTTCTCGAATGCAATGTGCAGCCTCCTAAACCAAAAGGAGAATCAACTTGGAGGCGGTTTGACACCCTCATGGAAGTAAGAGTGGACGCCTCTTCTTCCAATAATTTACAGCCTCCTAAACTCAATGGTTTCACATAAGCACAATCAAGTGTTCTGAGATTCTCTTTTTTCTCAGTGTTATCCACAGTTTGTTGTGACCCACACAGCCAAACGCCTTTGCATAGTCAATGAAACACAGATAAGACATTCTTCTGGTGCTCTCTGGTTTCAGCCAAGATCCATCTAACATTAGCTACAGTATCTCTAGTACCACGACCCCTTCTAAACTCAGCCTGCACTTCTGGCAGTCCTCTGTTGATGTGCTGTTCCATTCATTTTTGGATAGTCTTCAGCAGAATCTTGCTTGCATGTGATATTAATGATATTTTTCATTAGTTTCCACACTGTCTGATCACCTTTCTTTGGAATGGAAACAAATATAGATCTCTCCCAGTCAGTTGGTCAGGTGGTTGTCCTCCAGATTTCTTGGCACAACCTGTGAGCACATCTAGGGCAGCATTTGATTGTTGAAATGTCAATTGGTATACCATAAATTCCTGGGGCCTTGTTTTTTGAGAATTCTTTTGGAGCAGCTTGAACTTCCTCCTTCACCACCACAGAGCCGACTGGTAGCATCAGGATGGATGGTGAAGAGATTGACATTGTTCACAGCTTTAGTTTGCTTGGCTCCACAGTCAACACTCTTGGCATCAGCAGCCAGGAAACTAAAGACCTAATGCATTGGCAAAGTCTGCTGTTAGAGACCTCTCCAAAGTACTGAAGAGGAATGATGTCAGTCTGGAGAGACTAAGGTGTGCCTGATACAGACCATGGTCTTTGCAATCACTTGTCATACATCAGAGAGCTTGACAATGACTATGGAGGATAGAAGGAGAATTGATGTCTTTGAGCTGTGGTGTTGGAGAAGAGTATTGAATATACCATGGACTGCTAGGAAAACGAACAGATTCAACCTGGAGGGGGGTGAAAACAGGCTGCTCCTTGGAGGCAAAATTCTGAAGCTTCGTCAGACATACTTTGGACATGTTGCAAGGAGAGACCAGTCCTTGGTTTGGGAGGGTGGAGGGACAGTGCAGAAGAGGAAGACCCTGGATGAGACTGATTCAGTGACTGGGATAATGGGGGTAGGTGTGTTGGAGACAGTAAGATTGGCATGGGATAGAGCAGAGTTTAGGGTTGCTGTACATAGGGTTGCTATGAGTCACAGGTGACTCGATGGCACATAACAACAATAAACTCAATGGAAGAGCAGCTTGGAGGGGTTCTGACACACCCATGGAAGTAAGAGTAGATAAGTAAACTTATTTACTTCCAAAAATTTTCAGCTTTGTAAACTCAATCAGCTTGGGGAGGGGAGGGTTCTGACCCCCTCATGGAAAGAAGAGTGAATGATGCCTTTACTTCCAGTAACTGCCATTCTCCCCTCTGAGAAACAATTATATTCTCATGTTATGAATATTCAACTTATACAAATAATTTTTAATTAGTTTTACATACCAAGCAAGTACATTAATTAGTTTAAAAAATAAATTTAATATCTTTGTTTTCACTTACATTTGAAACTGAGGAAGATTTTCAGAAGGCAAAGCCAGAGCCAAATCCAAAAATTTGCAAGCAGAAAGATAGAGGTTTAACCACCGCTGGCTGTTGTAGGAAGTAGAGAAGCCATTACCTCCTGTGTAGGTTGTCTCCAGACCAGCTACAGACGGGCCTGATGTCCTGCAGGCAGGAGACAGTGCTGTCAGCAGCTGCACCTACCCACCCCTGCAATTACTGCAAAATCTAGCTAATTTTTTTTTCATTTTTATTTAATTTTTTGTTTCTTTTCTCTTTTAAAAATATGGAATGCTTCAAGAATTTACGTGTCATTCTTTCACAGGGGCCATGCTAATCTTCTCCATACTGTTCCAATTTTAGTATATGTGCTGCTCAAGTGAGCACGAGCTATATTTTTCATAATCATTAGGACTGAATTATACTAGTCATTGGTAAAGTCACAATTAAATTAATTTTAAAATCCTCAAATTAAAAATGTGCTTTGTTCTTGAACTTTTTAGAATGTTAAAAAGCAGTCCATAGTACCTTCTCAGATGTAAGGAATATAAAGATGCCAATTATTTTTACAAAGAAACCCCACTACTCCATATTCTGCCCCTAATGGAAAGTCTTTTGAGAATAATAAACACAGCTACTCATACAGGAGACTGATTCTGCACACCAGCAACAGGAAAAAAAAAAGATTCAGGCAATCTGTCTTAGAGGAAATGCCAACGTTTACATTTAGTTGTATATAAGTCTTTCTAATAAACTTTCAATGTGTGGGGTTTTTATTTTATAAAATTTCCTTCTTTAATAAAAACAAGCTATACTTAGTCACACAGTGAGAAGCTGCCTCTCTTCAACAGGATGAAGTTTAAAAACATTGCCCTAAATTCTGCTCTGTGCTGTTAGTGTCGAGGGCACACATCTGAGGCACCAAACTACCATGACTCCTGCAGCTTCAGACAGTTACCATTTTAAGCTCTATTTATGTCTAGATGCCAGAGGTTACATACAAACATCAACAGTTTACTGCAAAATTCTTAAGGAATAAGTGAAAGTGAAAGTGCATCATATTAAAAATGATCAGGTTAATAATAAGGGAACTAAATAGAAAAAGCATATAGATAAAACTACACTAGTTGGTAAGGAACATTCTGGTTAATTTTAAAATATTAAACACTAATAATACTGAAATGAATTCTATTTTACCGTGAAATATCTTCATCAGCAGTGAGTTCCTGTTCCATTAGTAAAAATACTTGTACCTGGAGACCATAAAATACATTGCTTATTTACTTCAACTGGATACATAATCTGTCCTAAGTCATCTCTACACTATATTTTCATTACTATAAAAATGCATTTTACACTACATTTTCAATGATATTTAATTTGCACAGAACCTTGCTCATCATTTGACAGAGGCCATCGTGGAAAAAAATACAGGTTTTGTTTTTTTCTTTTTTCCTTAAGCTGATAAAATATTAAAACAGATTTTCTTTGGTAGGAAAATGACAAATGCTAGATTTACAGGGATCGATCCCTTTCTTTTCCTTACCGATTCTCATTATCTCCACCCTTCAAGTCTTCGGACAAAAGGTGACCTGGTATGGTTTGGGGTGGGAGAACGAATAGTGTAGGTGGGCTTGGGAGGGTTTTATTGTTTGCAGGTGTAGCAGATCTTTATGAAAATCTGTCTGAACCAGTTTGATTGGCTAAGTGCTTTATATCAAGGGTGAGTGTGTATCCTAGAGTGTGTTTAGATTCATTTAAATCTTGCTAAACCGTTTCTTCTCATACTAGATAGGCTACTGCCAGAGGAAACAACCTTGGTTTCCACAGGGAAAAAAAAAAGTCAGAACATTGATGTTGAAAATACAACAAAAGGAACCAATGATTTAGGTTGCCTCTGGAAGGTTCAGCTTATGGAAATGGAATCTGACTTGGCTTACTCACTTTTCCAACTACAAAAACTTTTTTTTTTTGAGAAGACATGATAGCAATTCTATTCAAATTATTTCATAATACAGAAAAAGATGGAATATTTCTAAAGTAATTCTATGAAACAAACATAACCCAGTACAAAAGTCAAAACACCACTAAAGCAAAAAAATTATAGATCAATATCCCTCATGATCACGGGTGCAAAAATTCCTAAAAAATACTAGCCCATATCCAACATACTTATAATACTTATATATACTTATTATAATACTTATTATACTTATAATACATTATTATGATCTAAGGTAATAATACCGGTCCTGATGGCATAGCATGTAGAGAGTTGCACTGCTAGCCCAAATGTCATGCCTCTCTGGCCATTCGAATCCACCAGTGGCTCTGCTGGAAGTTGGGCAATCTTCCTATACAATTAACAGTCTTGGAAACCCACCGAAGAGTCAACTATTATTAGTTGGTTCTGACTTGTTGGCAGAGCGAGAGCGAGAGCTACAAAAACTTTTGAGTAACTGGTTTAACTACAGTTTAGTTTTCTTCCAGGATTAATTTTTATCCAGTGGATATACAAGAGATGATCAAGTTGCTTGATAATTAAGATTTATAACTTGATTGACTAAAAATTTACTCACAAGTTCTGTAATCATGGTAGGCCAGAGTGAGGTAAGATGTTGTGGAGACATTCTTAAAAGTAACACTCTAAAAAACAGGAATACTTGAGAATGAAGAGTTGGCACCTGGGGCAAACGAAGACTTTCAACCAATCTCTCTGAAAGAAAGGCAACAATAACTAAATAATTTGAGTTATTACTACATAAACCATTCCTATATTAATTAGTCTAGTGCTTCTCAACTTATCTGTGGTGAAGGATCACATTTTTAAAAATCTCCAATCTTTTGAAGAAGGATACTTACATAAAGCATAAAGATATATCATTAGAAAAAGGAAGTTAAAGAGACAAAAATACAAATATAATTTCCAATTGTTAGATTAAAGAAATTCTGACAAATTCTTGTAAACATTTATAAACCTTACTCCAAATTTCTGTATCATGGACAAGATTACAGAGTCAAACTAGTCAGTGGACTGTACTGTAAGCAAATAAAAAAATTCTAGGGGAAAATAAATATTGTTCATGCCATACATTTGACATTTAGTATGGAAGGTTAGAAAAGGTGGAAGGAAGAGATATAATGTCATGAGAGAAATGCCTGCCAAGTTACCACATTGACTGTTGAGCCCAGAAGCTCCACGAGCACCTCAAGCAATAAGGGACATCCTGATTTGCTGGGACAGTGGTACTCTTGCAGTGAGGGACGTCCTGATTCTCTGAGACAGTGGTGCTCTAGGGTATGTTACTTGTCTAAGGATCTCCATGTGACAAAGGGTGATCATCAAAACTGATCCCTTCTGAAGACAAGGGATGGTGAAACTCATTTGATGAAGATGATCCAAACTTTTTATAATCTCCTCCAACCCCAAACTATCATCTCCAAATAAGTATTACTACAGATTCAAGGCTTTGCCTATATTTTGGTGCTTTCCTTGAAGGAATACACCTCCAGCTACAATATGAAAATGCTAACTCCTGTCTGTAGTTAAACAGTCTTTATAAATCATCCCAAAATATTAATGCCAAGGACATTAATATAAGATGTCACATTTTGACAAGTTCAACTGTATTATATATATATTTTTTTGTGTGTGTGATAATTTGTGTTGTTTCAGCAGAGAAATCTTTATTTCTAAAATGTTCTAAAGTACATTTTATTTAATGTATTTCACTATATAACTTAGCAAAAGTTCTTTTTAAGGAACAAAAAACCTCTTATACATTGGAAGACAGTCTTTTCATGATTTACCTTGTATATCTGGAAGATATTTCTGGTACTGGTCAATTTCACTGCTAAAAATAGCAAATGCTAATCTTTTTAGAAGCATGGCTCTCTGTTCCAGCTCTACATCCCGGTTTGCAAAGAGATTGAGTGAACTGCTTTGTGCTACTGCTACACGAGCTTAAAAAAAAAAAAAAAAAAAGCAAGCAAATAAGAAACTGATTCAACCAGTCAACTGAAAAAGGTTACTATGTTATTGATTTTAAAAAGATGGCTACAGAAGGAAATTCAGGCCTTGGGGTCAAGGATGAGTGGGTTTCTATTCTGAGGTACCACAAAGTGCCTCAAAAAATCCCCAACAAAAACCCCACTACATTTCAGACAGAAAACCAAGGATTAGGAATTGTCTGAGCTTTAGTAGGTAAAATCACTAAGAATAATTTTTATAGAACTCTTAGTATTTCTTGTCATTTGCCTAAATTGTATTTTAAAAATAATTCTAGCCTGGCCAGTTCAACTAACTCTATATATTATGTCTTGCCACTTCCCCTTTAGCACTCTGTCTCACCTCTGCACACTTTATTACTCCTTAATTCCAGATGTCTACACACTTCATTACTCTGTAACTCCAGACCTTTGCACACTTCATTACTCCATAACTCCAGACCTTTGCACACTTCATTACTCCATAACTCCAGACCTTTGCACACTTTATTACTCTGTAACTCCACAGCTTTGCACATTTTATTACTCCATAACTCCAGACCTTTGCACACTTCATTACTCCGTAACTCCAGACCTCTGCACACTTCATTACTCCATTAACTCCAGACCTTTGCACACTTCATTGCTCCGTAACTCTACACCTTTGCACACTTCATTGCTCTGTAACTTCAGACCTCTGCACGCTTCATTACTACGTAACTCCACACATTTGCATATTTCTTTACGCAGTAACTCCAGATCTTTGCACATTTCATTGTTATAGGCTGATTTCTCCCAGGACAGCAAGTACAACAACACTGAACTCAGAACTAGTTCAACTCAGAGGTTGAACTCAACCTCAGAACTTATCTGGCTTGTTCCAACAAGTCTTTGCCATTTTTGTTCTCTTTGTCTGGAATATTCTATCCCGAGGTCATCACATGCTTGACTTCTTTGGGCTCAGCTCTAACACCAGTACATTAAAGGGACCTTTATCTGAAGTATTTTTGTTGTTTTTAGCTTATGTAGCTGTGGTTCAAAAAATTAACAATTCTTATTTCCTTCATAATTTTTTCCTGAAATAATATCTAATCTGTTGCAATTTAACAACAACAAGGTTAGTAGAGTATCTGGTCAACTGTTGCGTTTGAATGAACATCTGTTGAGCAAATAAATTTTAACCCACCCAGAAAGCCTGTAAGACAGAAAATACAGTATGTAATAATTTTTCTAGATGAGGAAACTATAGTTTGGCACACAGAATTTACACAGAATCTGTAAGCCTGGTAGAATTTCACTGCTGTTTAAGTCCATCTACTTTAGTAACTGTCACCCTTTTAAAACTTTAAAAAACCTTTCCCCCCTTATTAACAGTACATGAAATTATCATATATAAACAAATTAATATAGTACAGAAGAGGGACTGAGAGTGATTATTCTGGTCTTTCTGACCCCATTCATTCTTTTATTTTTTTTAAATTTATTTCATTTTATTTATTTTTTTGTGTGTGTGTGTACTGTCAAATCAGATCTGACTGGTACAGAGGAGATCGCCCCTCCTCCAGCAGAGCATCTGGTGAATTTGAATTGCGTGCCTCTGGGATTGCAGTGCAGCTTCTTGCCACTAGGCCACCAGAATTCCCTTTCATTCTTTTAAAGGAAATAAATGCAATTCCAGAGAATTAAAGGGACTTGTCTGGTAACTGCCCTTCCTTGCTCTTCCACTTGTCATTCTTCCATATATTACATAGTTATTTCTTGAGTGACAGACAGATGTCACACAATCCGTCAATATTGCAATCGAGGCTTGAGTTCTTCAGTTCCGTTAGCTTGAGAAATGCTGGGTATATTTCCTGGTTTGGTTTTCTAGCTCCAGACCTTTAGACATTTCATTCTAATAAGCTCCTCTATTATTCTCAAGCCACCTCATGTTCTATGGTAAGTTTTAGAATCTCATGTGACATCTGTTTTCGCCTCTTCTTCCTTTCCTATCTTTTTAATAACTTGTTTTCTTCAGTTATGTTTGGCTAGATGTCAACTCACAACTTATCTGTCTTCACTCATTAATGTTCAGTTCTGTTCATCAAATCTATTCTTGAGATAGTCTCTAATTTCAGGTAGATTATACTTGGCTCTCGTGAGCTTTTTCACCTGTGATATGAACATGCATATGTACAACTGATTATGGCTTCCACCTTTGGCCCCTGGCCTTGTTCTGATGATATTTTGTTTCTTCATTTTATCTTTCCACAGATACATTTGGTTTGATTCCTGTATCTTTCATCTGATGAAGTCCACACAGATAATCTCTGTGTTGTTAAAAAAGGTACTGGTGTTGTGTGCCATTGAGTCAGAACTTACCCATAGCAGACCTTAAAGAAAGTTTTCAGAGGCATTAAATCGCACAGGAGACTGCTCATGCTCCCATGGAGCAGCCGGTGGATTTGAACCATGTGCCTTTGTGTCATGCAGCTTCTGACCACCAGGCCACAAAGAGCTCCCTAACAAACGTATTAGCAATGAATAAGTTGCTAGATGTATAATATCCTCTCATGTAAACGCCAGCATTATTTTTATCACCATGATTCTATTTTTCCAACCACGATCCTCCTACTTTGGTTTTAGTTTTCTGCATCCCAATTCCATGCTGTTTTTGTTGGTATGTCCCACTGAGTTCAATATGACTCATACCAACACTAGGAACAACCAATTTGAACTTTGCCCCATCCAGCACCATTCTCCTGCTCTCTGGCATTCCAATTACTATTGTTGTCTTTATTATGTGCCCTTGGATCCCCTGTGACTCACAGCGACCCTATGTACAGCAGCTCTGCACTCTTCTCTGTCCTGAGCCAGTCTAACTGACTCCGCCACACATACCCCTGTTGACCCAGTTACTCTATCAACCTATCTCATCCAGGATCTTCCTCTTCTGTGCTGTCTGTCCTTCTCCAAGGACTGGTCTCTCTTGGTCACGTGCCCAAAGTATGTCAGATGGAGTTTCAAAATCCTAGCCTCTAAGGAGAAACTTGGTTTCACCCTCTCCAAGACTGACTTGTTTGTTCTCCTATCAGTCCATAGTATGTTCAATACTCTTCTCCAGCACCACAACCCAAGGCCATAAATTCTTCTTTTATCATCCTTTGTCATTGTCCAGCTGATGGACAGCAAGAAATTGCAAAGACCACGGCCTAGATCAGGTGCACCTTAATCTCTAGATTGACATCGTTGCTTCTGAGTATTCTAGAAAGCTCCCTGACAGCAGATTTTTCTCAGTGCAATTTGTCTTTTGATCTCCAGACTGCTGGTGCTAACAATGTCAGTAAATATTAATTCTGACTACATGGTTGATCAATTTCAGACTTTGGAAAACATATTAAATTATGCTGGGAAAAAATCAGAAGAAGATGGAAGGAATACAAAGTCACTGTACCAAAAAATTAGATGATCTTCTAGTATTTAAGGACGTAGCATATTATCAAGAACCAAGATACTGAAGGATATAATTTTAAGCTGCACTGTAGACAATGGTACAAAAGAAGGTAAAACGTTTCAACTAAGAGATGTAATGCTGGAGGTGCTACTCTGTCTGTATTAACAAATCTGGAAGACAGCAACTGGGTCAACAGAATGGAAGAGATCCATGTTAGTGCCCATTCCAAAGAAAGACTATCCAACAGCATGTGGAAATTGTGAAACAATATCACATATGGTACAATCATTCTGGAAAGTAATTTGGTATTTCCTCAAAAAGCTGAACATAGAAATCCCATTATGACTCAGCTACTGCACTGCTAGGAATATATACCCCAGGAAATGAGAATTAAGACATGAATGGAGATTTGTTAACAGTAGTGTTATTAACAATAGCAAGAATATGGAAACAGTCCAAATGCCAATCAACAAACAAATGGATTGAGAAATCATGGTACACTATTACAACAGAACACTATGTAGCACTAAGGAGCAATGATTTTGTAAAGTACTACATAATATGGACAGTCTAGAGAGCATTATGCAGAGTGAACTCAGTCTCATAAGGACAAATACCGTAAAATACCATTATTGTAAAAATAGAAAGATAACTAGTAGGATGTGTATAAATGTCAAAAAGTCGAAGGGTATGGGAAAGTCAGAAGGGAGGCAATCACCAGGACAACAAAATTTAGTGGGGGGACTGAAGGGTGGGAGGAAATGGAAAGATTTAAATGGGAACTTGAAAAGATGCTGTAAAGACAGGCATAGAGGAGTGGTAACTTACTAGTTATATGGGATACAGTGTATGTGAATGATTGTTATGAAACACACATAATGTAAATAAATTATTATTTTAAAAGAAAAAAACCCAAAAATAATATCACATAAAAGTAAAAACTTGTTAAAAAGAATTAAAAATGGTTGAAGAAGTGCATCAACAGCAACTGCTAGAAAATCAAAACAGCTTCAGAAAATGGCATGGAAGGGTTGTAATTACTGATGTCAGATGGATTGTGGTTTAAGGTAGAGAATACCAGAAAGATGCTTGTGTTTTATTTACTATGCATGTTACTGTGTGGACCATAACAAATTATGAATAAAAGTGAGAAGAATGGGAATTCTAAAACACTTACTTGTGCTCACAAAGAAAGCAATAATTGAAGAAGCTGTTTGAACAGATAAGGGGATATTGCATGATTTAAATCAGAAAAGTTGTGTCATGTCCACTATCTGAGGAAGAACATGGTTTTGGGAAGATTCATTAATAACTTCTGATATGCAAATGACATGACCTTGTTTGCTGAAAATAAAAAAAAAACACAAAAACCAAAAACACCACCACAAAAACAAACCCAACCCAAAATACTATAGCTTTCAGTATGGACTACATCTCGTCTCAAAGAACACAAATAATCTTCACAACCAATCAATTAAAAAAATAGAAAAAAAGATTGAAATTCTCAAGAATTTCATTTTACTTGGATCTACAATCAATAAGCATAGAAATAGCAGTCAAGAAATCAAACATACCATCCAAATCTGCTGAAAAGGATATCTTTATTGTGCTAAAGATCAAGGATGTCACTTTAAGAAGTACATGACACAGGCCACACGGTATGTTTAATTACCTAACCAGCATGTGAAAATTGGATAGTATGAATAAAGAAGACTGAAGAGGTGTGAAAAACAATAATAAACAAACTTTGTAAATAAACCAGGATAAAACTTTTTTAAAAACAAGACTAAGAACTGGTGACTTTGAATTATGCTAGTGGAGAATACAGAATGTACCACTGATCACCAAAAGAACACACAAATCTGTCTCAGATGAAGTACAGCTAGAGCCCTCCTTAGGAGTGAGGGTGGTGACACTTGATTTCATATCCTTTGGCCAAGTCCCTGCAAGAGGACATGCTGGGGAGAAAAGAGGAAGCCTTTCAACAGGGAGGAATGACACACTGGCTGCAAGAATGGGCTTAAGCACAATGACCCTGAAGATCAAGCAAGACCCTTCCTTTCACTTAATCATCCGTAAGCTCTCCAAAGTACTGAAGAGCAATGGTGTCACTCTGGAGACTAAGGTGCGTCTGATACAGGCCATGGTCTTTGCAATCACTTGTCATTCATCAAAGAGCTGGACAATGACTAGGGAGGATAGAAGGAGAACTGATGCTTTTGAGCAGTGGTGTTGGAGAAGAGTATTGAATAAACCAAGGACTGCTAGGAGAACAAACAGGTTCATCCTAGAGAGGGTGAAGCTGGGCTGCTCCTTGGAGGCAAGGATTCTGAAGCTTCGTCTGACATACTTTGGACATGTTGCAAGGAGAGACCAGTCCTTGGAAAGGGACATCATGCTTGGGAGGGTGGAGGGACAGTGCAGGAGAGGAAGACCCTCTATGAGGTGGATTGATTCAGTGATTGGGTGGATGTGTTGGAGACAGTGAGGTTGACACAGGATAGAGCAGCGTTTAGGGCTGATTTAAAGAAGGTCACTACGAGTAGCAAGTGACTTGATGGCAAATAACGAACAACAACAAGCTGTTCTCTGTATGTTTTAAATAGAACCTGATAAAAAGGCAATTAAGTAGTCACCAGGAAAAAAAAAGTAAAGTGAAAAATGAATAAAATTCATACAAGGAAAGACTGTACTTAGATTTTCATCCCATAATACTCACTCATCAAATCTCTAAATGTTGTCTTATCATGTGTCATCAAATTATCCATAATTGCTCTCCAGCTGTAAGAGTCAAAGATGACGATATAGTTAAGAGTCTGTGATTGTTAATGCTAAATGGTGTTCACTTTGTAGGGCCATAGTTGAGTTCAATAGACTATATAAGATACATAATAATGTTGCATAAAGCATGACAGCAACTTACTGGTTGACACAGGAGGCATCCATTTGGAAGAAATTGGGATCCATAAAGAGATCAAAAGCTTCTTTTTTCCAGGCTCTTCGTGTGTACTGATAGCCACTAAGACTGCTAAGCAGCTGGACACAGGCGCGGTAACTAGGCGCATTATGTGCACTGCAAGGAACAGAAAGTAGCTTCATCTACATCTTATCACTTCATCCAGCTTCTCTTTAAGGTAACTAAAAACATGGTAATAAGAGAAGGCAGTTTTCACAAGAAGGACTTAAGAAACCTGTGTAACAAATACCTGTGGTTTCGGAGGTAGGGCACAACATAATGCATGATGTTTACAAGCAATGGAATGACTCGCTCCTTTTCATCACTGTAGAACACCATGTCTAACAGATGAGCCAAAACCTGCAGACACAGGAAATTAAATTTGGAGGGCAATCAAGGCGTGCTACCTGCTATTGTCTGTAGGAATTTTTTTTTTCAATCTCTTGTAAGAAAACCTAGAGACTTCAAAATTTTAAAGTGACCACAGTGTCACCCTTATTGAGATAGGGAAGATTTAGGTTTTTTTCATCCTTTTTAGTGGGACAGGGAAGTGAAAAAAAAAAAAAAAAGAAAAAGAGATTTAGAAACTTTTTGTATGATACAGGGAATAAATAGCAAAAAATATGTTAAAAAAATCAGAATGCTCTCGTTAAAAATATAGCTTGAAAAAAAAAAAGCTACTAAATAAACTGGACTTTTAAAATTCCAGTGATGGTTAATGGCTCTCTGGCCTTAGACTTGTTCTAACCTTTGTAATACTCACAGATGAGAAGAACAAAAAAGGACTTGCAAAAGGAACTTTGTCACCACAACAAGATAAAGGTAAATAATCCAATAGAAAAATGGGCACAGGATATGAACAGACACTTCACCAAGGAAAACATTCAGACGGCTAACAAGCACATGAAGAAATGTTCAAAATCCCTAGCTCTAAAAGAGATGCAAATCCAAACAACTATGAGATACCATCTCACCCCAGTCAGAATAGCAAAACAGAATAGCAAGCAACAAATGCTGACGAGGTTGTGGAGAAACTGGAACCCTTATTCACTGTTGGTGGAAGTGTAAAATGGTGCAACCAGTATGGAAGGCGGTATGGCGCTTTCTCAAAAAGTTGCAAATAGAAATACCATTTGACCCAGCAATTCCACTACTGGGAATAGACCCCAAAGAGACCATAACTGACATCCAAGCAGATGTATGGACACCCATGTTAACTGCAGCTTTGTTCACAATTACAAGGAGTTGGAAACAAGCCAGGTGCCCATCAACAAACGAATGGATAGAGAAGCTGTGGTATATTCACTGAAAGGAATACTATTGCTGCATTGAAAAACAAGGAACTCATGCAATATTATTCAAAACGGGTGACTCTGGAGGACATTATGCTGAGTGAAGTATCTATCTCAGTCACAAAAGGACAAATACTGTATGGTGCCACTGTTGTAAAATAGGACTGATCTTGGGGTTGGGGAGAGACTGAGAAAGATGGGTTCAATAATGTATACTGCATTGAAACAGATGAGGGAGAAAACTGTTTAAAAGGGTTATGTGATTAGGTATTTTTGTCATGACAGGAGTCTAGAGCGATGGCTACATGGTGGAGTGGACCTGGGGGAGTATTTGTAAAACAAGGAAAGAAGTTTTCTTTTACTTTTCCAAGAGGGTAGTGTATTAGGGGGGAGGGTTGGGAGGGGAGAAAAGTGCAACAATGAATGAATGGAAATCCAAAGTCTCTGTAATTTCTTATTGAAATTAATAATAAATTTAAATTAAAAAAATAAAATTTAAAAAAGAACAAGAAAGAAATGGGAAAAAAGGAACTTTGTAGCAAAAAATCAAACTCAACCCACTGCTGTTTAATAGGTTCTGACTCATAATGACCCTAACATAGTAAAAAAAAGAGAATATCAGATTGGTATAATATAAAGTCCTAAACAGTAGCAAACATTATTTATAACACCAGTACCCTCCCCACCACATACATGGCCATCAAAAAACACCTTTCTTCTTAAGAAATATTCTTACTGTGTATGTTATGATAGCAAACAATAACTATAGTTATTGTAATTCACATTTAATAAACAATTTGAATAGAGGTATGGTCAAAATATTGAATTATTTAATTCTATATATTGTTTTTTAGGAATTTTTTTTGAGCTAAAAATTTCTAATATTTAATTGTGAAACTGTTTAGGTGAGAGTTCTTGTAAGGAACACTGTTAATATTTACCTCAGAGAGTAGCGTCAGGGCATGAACACTATATACAGATGGAGTAATGCTGGAGGTCTCCATTGCAGGGGACAGCATATCTAAATGATAGAGTGGGTAAAACAAAAAGGCTTAGGCACTTTGCCACCGAAAAAAGCTATCTTTTATACATTCAAAAAGGGATGATTTTTATGGGACTTAAACAGCTAGCTAAAATAATTATGAATATATGCTGATAAACATTAAACCTAGTATTTAGAGCAACACCTTCAACATCAGATTCCAAGTTGGTTCCATCCACCATTATTTTTGGAGAAGGTTTAACTTCAAGATTCCGCCGCAGCCATGTTGTTTGTTCCAAAGAGGAACCAGCAATTGCACCAATTGCGTCCACTATTTTGTGTGTTATGTCCTGAGGAATCAAGAAGAATCATGAACAAAAAGATTATGTCACCAGGTATCATAATATGACACTTCTAAATTTTTGTGGTTCAGATTTCTGGTACTAGACTTGATATGTGCTGACTCTTACAGAAGCATGAAACGCTGTCAGTTGGAAGAAACATCAGATTACCTTGTTTGTTTGATCCTGTTATTTTAGAGTTGGAGGTACTAACAAAGACAGAATTTTAGAGACCACCCTCAATTCAGAATGCCTTACCTGGAGATCTCGTTGGTCTTTTTTATTTTCTAAAGTGGGGTTTTTCATAATAAACTCATTTAGAACCCTAGAAGAAACAATCAGTGAAGAAATATTAATGTAAACTACAAAAAAAACACACAATGCCATCTAACTTCCTCTAGGGAGTGAGTGGTTTTGTGGTATCAATTTTAATTCTAAATCTTTAATGAGTAAACCTACACATTATATGATGCAAACTAAATACACACATGCATTAAATGGGAGCTTGGTGACCTAGTGTTAAGAAGCTATGGTGCAATTCCAAAGGCATGCTGTTCGAGTCCACCAGCTGCGCCTCAGGAGAAAGATGGGCAGTCTCCGCCTATGCGATTAATTGCCTTTGAAAACCCACTGTAATGTCAGCTATGGGTCAGTTCTGACTTGATGGTATACAACAACAACGACATGCATGAAAAGACATGTACAAGAATTTTCATAGCAGCATTATTAGTAAAAGTATTAAGCTGGAGAGGACTTAAATATCAAGGAACAAAAGAAGATAACAATTATATATTCATACAATGGAATACTAAACAGCAACAAAAATTAATATAGTTATATAAAATTACATTAATGAATCTCATACATAGGTCAGAATCTCATATATATATGTCAAAGAGACTAAACCAGACATACTGAAATAGTGACTGTGGCAATGGCCTTTAGTGTATCAGGAGATTGTGAGGATGGCACAGGTTAGGACAGATCTGTTGCTCCTGGGGTTGTTACAAGTTATTCTCGACCCAACAGCACACAACAAGAGCAAAGCGCATTTACCACTAGTGATAGAAGTAAAGTAGTGGCTATCTTTGGAAAAGAAAGGATAGCAATTGGGCAGAAATCTGACCAGCATTAATAAAACAATTATTCAAATTATTAACACAGACCAGGAAATACATAGGCACACAGAAAAAAAGGACTTTCCCCAGCTTATATTTAGGACCCAGTTTAAATGTTCCTTCTTTTCTTCCTCCCATTTCAGTCTTAGACATCTCCACAAAAGTAAATAACCTCTTTTAACAGTTAATTTTGTGTTAGTACATTTATATTGTATGTATATCTTCATCACCTCTTTTTTTTTTTTATAGGCTACCCTACAATAAAGTTACTCAAAACATCTGTTATTCAGTAATTAAGATAATAGACACTATCCTTTGATCTCAAATACTATTATTATTAAAAAATTGCTTACCCCAATATAAGAAACTGTCCTGGAGCTGGAAGATTCAGTTGGATGGAGTCTTTCAGAAGTATCAACAGTGATGCCCAGCTATCCACTAAGTTGGGCACTGGAATTCTGGAAGAAACAAGTTTGAATAAATAAAAAGACACAGTAAACTTTTCCTGACTAGTTTCACAGAAATATTCCTAAACTTTTACAGAATGTAACATACCACTTCTACTGCTTTTCAACCGAATCTGAATCATAGCTGATCTTCTCTTGGGTTTCTGATGCTGTAAATTACCTGCCCGTCTCTCTTCCATGGAGAATTCACACCGTTAGGGGCAGGCCTTTGGGTTGGTCAGCAGCACCGGTGACTACCCACACACTAGGTCACTCCTAACAACTTTACTTTTTTTTTTACTACTATACTATTATGTCAAAAGACAAACATATCTAAAATATCCACTGTGACTTTTTAATCTAGAAATTCCGCAAGAGCAATACTAATTTTTAGTTACATGGATTGTAAAAAATAAAAAAAGCACATCTTTGCAACATTACATCTACTCTCTACCCTGGCCTAACCATTTCTCTCTCATATTCATATTTATTCCTTCATCTACAAATCTCCACATTTCAGAGAAAGTTATCAGTTTATCTTGAAACTGATTTACATAGAAAGTTATTTTGTTTCAATCTATCCTTGTGCTTAAATTGAGATATCTGACTGACTGTGCAAGTCACAACCTAATTGAATACATTAAAAAACTTAACTTCAGAAAGGTTAATAACAGATGACAAATGGAGGCCAAGAGTAGTGGTTCCAGAGTGGAACTACACTCTAGGGGGGCCCTCTGGTGGCACAGTCCCAGTGAGGCACACGGCTAACCCAGAGTGTTGTCTCCCTGCTGGTTCAAATAGTTTTCTTTGGGAGAAAACGGGTCTATTTTCACTCATGCAATTGAAAAATAACTCTAGGAAAATCCACTGTATGGTCAAAATCAGTCAGTTCTGATTTGATGGCAATGAGTTTCAATTTCTTTGATACTACAGGAAGGATTAAGACTCAAGTCTCAAGTAAAAAGCAATTCTCAATATTATAATCAAGGAACTTCTTTTTTTCCGTTAAATACAACGTTGTAATAGCAAGGCAAAAAGAAATTTTCACATCATTCCTATCTTTTAATCAGATTAGATGCCACATGTTCAACTTAAAACAAAAATGGCTTCAGTGGCAATATGGATGGTTTTAAGAGCAGGATTCAGTTTTCATTTATATTTAAATGATTTTCAGTGCTTTAAGGTCTACTGTATTTTCCACATATACAAGCTAGTGGGATTTGCACAGCTGGGTCAAGAAGGTGGCCATGTCTTGTATTATATATCCAAAAGTAATATTCTTTTGTTTCTAGGATTTGTTCTTTAATTTCAGAGGGAACAAAAATTAATCAGTCTTCTAAAAATTTTGGTACATTAACTCTGCTGTTCTGTAATTTTTTTTTTATTCTGTAATTTTTAAGGACAGGTACACATTGGTTTTCTTACCTTTGAATATAAGCATAGAAAAACTGAAGCATGCAGACTTCCAAAGAAAGATGTTTCTATAAACAAAAGAAATGCATTTTACAGTAAAGAAGAAATGCTGCCTTTGATTTTCATTGCTAAATATTTATAATCTTGTTAGCAATTCTTAATAAAAATATTAAAACTGAACATAGTTGTAAACATGCAGTCTTCATCTATTATAAAAAAATTCATAACACAAGAGTCCCTTAAAAAGGTCTCTTAATTAGAACAGTAAGTCAACTTTTTTTTTTTAGTTTTATTCTATCTTTTTGGCCCACTCTATTCAAGGCCTTCTACAGTGATCCTTTGAAGAGTAGTCAGCTTTAAGAGAATAAGCTGGGCACCATTTAGCCCTTCTGGTCTCAAGACTGAGGAGGCTGAGGTTCATTAGTTCTTTGGACTTATTTTGTAAACATTTGCTTTTCTTCCCTCTCCTTTGTTGTGGACAGATAAACAGTTGCACTTCAGACTCACAAGCTTTCATGACCCTAGCTGCTACTCACCAAAACAGGATACAGAATATTATGTTTTGTGGATTAAGTAATGTCAATCAACTCTGGATGGTCTTCAGGCCTTAGAATGATCTGCAATGCATTTTTTGGGGGTGTTTGATTGTGATTAAGAAGCAACAAACATCATAATAGATGGAGAAAAAAACTAAAGTTGTCAATAATTTTATTTTACTTTAATCCACAATCAGTATGCATGTAGAAATCTGCTGTCAATGATCTCTATAGAGTGCTAAAGAGCAACAGAGTCAATTTAATGACTAAGTGCACCTGATCCAAGCCTTACTATTTTCCACTGTTTCCTATGCATCTCAAAGTTGGACAATATTAGGATGACAGGAGAATTATTGATGTATTTGGATTGTGTTGGGGAAGAATAATGAATATCCCATGAACTGTCAAAAGAAGAAACAGGTCTGTCTTGGAGGAAGTGCAATCAGACTGCTCCTTAGAGGCAAGGGTGGTGAAACTTTGTCCCACGTATTTTGGGGATGTTGTCAGAAAGGAAGGACTATTCCTTCAAAAAAGACATTCCAGAAAAGATGGAAGTGTTAGAGAATTAGCAGGCCCTCAACAAGATCAAATGACACAGTGATCTAACAAAGATTTTGTGATCTAGAGGATGACACAAGATTGCACAAGTTTTACATCTGTTGTTCCAGGGTCAGTATGAAATGGACTTGACTTGATGGCACCTAAAAATAATATATTTTGTTTCAGGTTGGTTCTGCTATATACTTGGACACATTTTCGGCATCTACTATTATCAATTTAGAAATATCATCTGCCAAACTTATGTATAGTCCCTATCACCTGCTCATTTTGCTTGTCTGCCTGTAACATTTATTGTAGATTAATGTTTATTGATAGCAATGTATATAAGTGTTTACCTTTGTTGACTGCATTTCTTGATACCTGCTGCTTTTTCTATTATTGACACTGTTCTAACCGTCCCTTTATTCAACACCTTTTCCTTCGCCTATCTTCCTATGTGTCTATTACCTATTTATTGTTCGCTTCTTTAGCCTTTTATAATAGTGAGCTATTGTTTCATTGCACAATGCTCTTGTTGCTGGGACAAGAGAATATCTCATTGTTTTTGATCTGCATCTCTAATAGGGGATGATTGTGAATATATCTTCATGCTGTTTGACCATTTCAGTGTTTTCTTTGGTGAAGTGTCTTCTCATGTCCTCTGCCTAATCCAGCTGGATTTTTTGGAGGTTTTTTTGATTGTTGAGGCATAAAAGGGTTTTATATAAATGTTAGAGATTAGTCCTTCATCAAATATACTGCTGTCAAATATTTTTTTTCTCAATTTATACATTCACTTTTGGGGAAGAATTTAAATATATATATAATGATTTAATTTCTAGAAGGTTTCAATCATCGAGTCTACCTTCTGCTTTTTATGTATTTTTGGTTGTATCTGATAGTTTATTTGTGCTATAGATTATTACCTTAAGTTTGTCCCCTACTATTTTCTTTGATTAGTTAGAGGTGTTATATTTAGGCCTTTGATGGTCAAGTTTGTTCTGTATATGGTGTGAATCTTGTTTCAATTTTCTGTAAATGAATATCCAGTTTTGCCAATATTGTTTGGGAGAAAGAGACAGTCTTTTCTCCTTCCACAATGGATTCTGAGGGGTGGATTTTGTTCTGGTCTCTCAAGCGTGCTCCCCTGGTCTCTGTACATGTCTGTTACAGCAGCAGCACAAGGCTGTAATAGCTGACTGTGCAGCAGATTGAGGCTGTGACGATGAAGGACCTCCCACTTTTTCTTCCAGGGGTGCTTTGCTGATCTGGGTTCTCTCTCCTTCATATATAAATTAGGTTGTTTAGTATCCATCTGTTTCAAGACGAGGATGGGATTTAACTGTACATTGCTTTTGATAATTTTGGCACTTTCACAATTTTAAATCTTATCCATGAGCATGGTAAATGCTTCTATTTTATATAGGTCTCTTGCTTTCTTGTAGTAGTATTTGTGTGTGTGCATGAGATCAAACCATTGTTAACAGAGTTTTCTGAGGAAGAGACGAAGAGGCAGGGAAAATGAAGTTTGACTACTGCAGTCTGGCCAGGATATCCTAAACCTTGGAGATGCGCAAAGCTCTTGTATTTTAAAAGGTTTTTTTATACACGGGCCTTTTGTATATCTGGTTGGATTTATTCCTAAGCATTTAGGAAACTCTGGTGGCCTACAGGTAAGAAGATGTGCTGCAGTATCAAAGGCCTGCAGTTTGAATGCACCAGCGGCTCTACAGGAGAATGATAGGTAATCTTCCATTCAACTTACTGCCTCTGAAACCCACTGTAAGGTCAGCTATGAATTGGTTCTGACTTAATGGCAGACAACATTTCATCTTTTGGGTGGCTACTGTAAATGGTATTGCTGTTCTTATTTCCTTATTAGTGCTGTATTTGTTATTGTAGAGAAATTAACTTTTATATGTTGATCTTATACCCTGTTACATTGCTGAATCTTTGAATTAGTTGTAGTAGCTTTCCTGCGAGACTTTTGGATTTTATATATATGTTATCTGCAAATACCAATAGCTTTCTGTCTTTGTTAATTTGGATGGCTTTCTTTTCCTTTCCTGCTATATTGTTTTAGTTAGCACTCCAAGTGGGAACAGAGGTAGTCATAAAGTACAACCTTGTCTGGTTCTGGTTCACAAGGGAAATGCTTTTGAGATTAATGCTATGCTGGCTGTAGGTTTCAAAGATATAATTATGTACATATTATTATAATGTAGTAATAATAATATAATTATGCTTTTAATTATGTTGAGGAATTTCCCATGTATTCCAACAAAACAAGAATAGAAGTAGAGGAGTCTATAGTTCTAACTTATAGGCTTTTATATCTGTCCAATTGTGAGCATCAGTGACTTAACTCCGAGTTCACATTCAGCACCTATGGAAGCAGAAGTCATAAAGTATGCTGTACAGGGCAGAAATGCAGACAAAAGTCCTCTTTTAAGGTTCTAAAGAACAAGGATGACAGTATGAAGAGTAATATGCACCCGATCCAAGTCACAGTATTTTCAATTACTTCATATGCATCTGAAAGCTGGATAATAAAGAAGGTCAAAGAAGTTTATCTTTGAATTGTGGTGCTGGTGAAGAATATAGAATGGTATCATGGACTGATAAAAGAGTTAACAAATCTACCTTAGAGAAGAGCAATCAGACTGTTCCTGGATGGCAAAGATGGTGAAACTTCATCCTACATAGTTGGAACATGTCAGGTAGGGTGAGTTCCGAGAAAAAAGCTATCATGTTGGGAAAGTTGAGGGTGAGTAAAAGAGAGGAACACACTTAATGAAAGAGATGGACACAGGGATTGTAGTAATGGGCTAGGACCCACAAGAGACTGCAAGGATGGTGCAAGATAGAGTAAGTTTTTTAATTGTTCATAGGGTTGCTATGAGTCATAGTAGAATTGACAGCACCTAACAACAATAGTAATTGTGAGTGGAATTAAGTCTAATTCAATTTCAAATTATAAACATAAGAACAAAAGCTTTTCCTTACCTTGTCCTTTGCTATGGCTGGGGGCTGCTTTAAAACTTCTTTCACAGTCTGGATTACAGTTTCTGCTCTCATGACACTGATTGAACGAACCAGTTCCACCAGTAAAAGCTGCTCCTCACTGGCTGTGGGAATGACCTGAATAACACATCATCAAATGGACATCTAACAAGATAAAGCACTGTGGGCTTGATTCTAACTTCCAGTGGCCTTGCACTGGGCTTCCAAAGCTATCCTTCTCTCCAGGGAGAAACTGCCCCACTTCCTCATGCGGAGCAGATGTCAGTGAGCAGTGTGCCGCGCTACCAGAAAGCAGCAGTAAATGACATTCAAAGAATATATTTTGGCCTCCTCTTAATGCAAACTGCCTGTTAAAAACTTCACTAAGTAAATTTTTCTTAAAAAAAAAATCAATATATGACCTGTACCTCATTTTTTAAAAAAACAAACCTTTTCCATGACCTCAAGCAATCATGCTTGACTCTTTCAGCTCTTTTCTATTACTCGTAAACAATACAATGCTAATATTTTTTCCTATTTCAGAACACTCATCCACCCTTTTAGGTCTAATCTCCTGACTTCCAGCTGTAGAAGAAGTTTCACTTTCTTGTACTTCTTTTTCTATATTCCCAAACCAAACCTCTATTGTTGAGTAAATTCTCTGTGACCCTTTAGAACACAACAGATAACCTAAAAGGACTTTTAAAGCTGTAAATCTGCAGAAGCAGACTGCCTCAGCCTTTTCTCCATAAGAGGGGCAAGTGGGTTCAAATTGCCAACTCTGATGTTAGCAGGCAAGCTTTTAAGCCACTATGCCACCAAAGGTCCCACTTTAAATCAAGATCCAATGTTTGTATATTTTGCTTCAGTTCTCTGTATACTGTTTTGGATTTGTTTTTTGTTTTTAAGATTTAGCTAAAAGAACTATGAGATATCATTTCACCCCAGTCAGAATAGCAAAACTTAACAGCACAGCAAGCAACAAATGCTGGCGAGGTTGTGGAGAAACTGGAATCCTTATTCACTGTTGGTGGAAGTGTAAAATGGTGCAACCACTGTGCAAGGCAGTATATGGTGCTTTCTCAAAAGATTACAAACAGAGATACCATTTGACCCAGCAAATTCACTACTGGGAATATACCCCAAAGAGACTCTAACTGACATCTAAGCAGATATATGGACACCTATGTTAACTGCAGCTTTGTTCACAATAGTAAGGAGTTGGAAACAACCTCAGTGCCCATCAACAAATGAATGGATAGAGAAGGTGTGGTATATTCACAGAATGGAATATTATGCTGCATTGAAAAACAAGGAACTCATGCAATATTAATCAAAGTGGGTAACTCTGGAGGACATTATACTGAGTGAAGTATCTCAGTCACAAAAGGACAAATACTTCATGGTGCCACTGTTGTAAAGCAGTACTTACCTCGGGGTTGGGGGCAGACTGAGAAAGATGGGTTCAATAATGTATACTGCATTGAAACAGATGAGGGGGAAAACTGTTTAAAAGGGATATGTCATTAGGTATTTTTGTCATGACAGGAGTCCAGAGCGAAGGCTACATGGTAGAGTGGACCTGGGGGAGTGTTTGTAAAACAAGGAAAGAAGTTTTCTTTTACTTTTCCAAGAGGGTAGTGTACTAGGGAGGAGCGTTGGGAAGAGAGAAAAGTGCAACAATGAATGAATGGCGATCCAAAGTCTCTGTAAATTTTTACTGAAATAATAAATTTAAATTAAAAGAAAAAGAAAACAAAAAAAAATATTTAGCAAAGGACTCAACTCTGACAGCTTACACCCATCAGTAGCTTTACTGGAGAAAGATAAGCAAGCTTCTTCAGTGTGATATGCTATTGTTGTGAAGTGCTGTCTAATCTATTCTGTGCCACAGACACCCTTTGAACAACAGATCTGAGCCTTGCCCTATCCAGTGTCAGCCTCATGACCATGTGATTTACAACTCCAGAAACCCAATGCACGCTCAGTTAGAACTTGATTCTGACTCACTGGTAAGAACATTAGTTTTTCTTCATCCATTTTTCTGAACCTATACGCTAATGTCCTTTAGTGTGATTTCCTCATCCTCCCTTCTACCTCTCAACAATGCTGGGAATAATCTAGAAACTTTCATGCACTGTCTGATTTTTCTGTCCTCATTTTCTGTTCTTTCTTTCTGAAAAAGACTGATCCACTACTATTGGTTTCCCACATTTAAAAAGAGACCAGCCTAGACCACCCCCACACCATTTTGACCTTCTCTGTTCATGGTCACTTGGTATCCCTCTCAGACCTTGAAATAAAGGCCTGTTGATTTCTTGGGACCTATTTCTTTCTCTCTCTCAACCTCAACTCTCTTTCTATCTAACAGTATTTATCTCTCAAACTTCCATTGACTTTGTTTCTGCTCTCATATTTTTTATTTTCAAAGAAGTTTTCCTTTTCTAAATGCTTTTTTAAAATTATTCCCTCTTAATTTTATGAAGCAATACTGTCTCACTTCTTGAAGGCTATGACTATTAGACATTTTGTTCTTTTCTTGCATTGTTGGATTCTTTTTTATTTCATTGTTATGGTCTTTGGCTTTCTTAATGTGACAACTCTTGGCTGTGTATATACATGCTTTAATGTGAAGAAATAACAGTACAATCAGTATTTGCAGAATGTTTATTAAGCACCAGCTATTACTAACTGATTTAAATAAATACACTGACTCTGAATTTTCATGACTCAAGTAGCATTTCTCCCCTCTCAGGTCATGAGTTCACATGTCTTAATGTGAAGGAAAGGGACATGCTCTCAAAGTCTGTGGTGTTAATCATCCATTTCTTTCTTTATTTTTTTTTTTTTAAAAGCTATTTGAGCTGTGGTGCTGGAGAAGAGTACTGAATGTACCATGGACTGCCAGGTAAACAAACAGATCCATCTTGGAGAGGATTAAACCAAGCTACTCCTTGGAGGCAAGGATTCTGGGGCTTCGTCTGACATACTTTGGGCATGTTGCCAGGAGGGACAGGTCCTTGGAGAGGGATATCATGCTTGGGAGGGTGGAGGGACGGTGTAGGAGGGGAAGACCCTCTATGAGATGGATTGATTCGGTGACTAGGGTAATCGGGATGGGTGAGTCAGGGGCAGTGCGGTTGGCACAGGATAGAGCAGGGTTTAGGGCTGTTGTGCATAGGGTCGCTATGAGTCGGAAGGCACAGGCACGTAACAACAACAACAACATTATAATTTATATTTAAATAAATAATTGCATGCATGGAAATGTTAATCACTATGCATTAACATCTAAAAAAATAGCTACAGAGTGATGGTCCTACACTTAAGGTCAAGGCTAGTGAATGGGGTGTGGTGACAGTATCCTAGATTTTCTGTGTTTTCACTGTTGTTTTCTTAGTTTGGGATGCAAGAAAATCAAGAGCAGCTCTGCATACACCTTGAGCTTGGGTTTTGAGCTTCAGACTATGCCTAGAGTTCCGGAGATGGAACCCAATAATTGAGATTTGATTCCAAACTCCTGCTGGAATATGAGTGGTGGATGATTACTTGGGTTGAGGAATTAGGATTTGACAGATTTCTAATGCTCCTTTTATAAACTTAAACCAGAGTCCTTCAAATTCCATTACCATCCCAAGCTTTAGAAGTATCAGGTACTCATTGTTCCTGAGTATGACTGTGGTTCTGTAGTGGGAATTGGCAGGCACTTAAGATATTTTCTACCCTTTTGATACCTTTTCTACCCTCTATAATGTTGTTACTGAGTAATGACAAGTTGGAACTGACCCACAGCTGACTCTTCAGAGGGTTTTCAGAGGTCATAAATTGCAAGGGAGGAGAATGCCCTTCTTTCTCACGCAGAGCAGCTAGTGGATTTGGTAGTGCAATTCATTACCACCAAGCTACCAGAACTCCCTATAATATAGATAGCTGCATTTCACCTGGTAAAATTTCCTTCAGAGTTCTTTTCTCTTCTCCATTTTTGTATAATGAATATACAATTTTAAACTGCTTTGCTTTTTGGAAGAGAGGAAAGTGCATGTATTCAATATTCCACATAAAATCATAATGTTGGTAGCTGCTTTAATACAGACTGGGGTTTCAATTGTGTAACAGTATGACATTTGTTACTGAAGCCAATCAAGAAATGGGAGCTCTGGTGGCACAGAGGTAAGGAGTTGTGCTGCCAGCTCAAAGTCAGACAGTATGAATCTACCAACTGCTCCGTGGGAGAAAGATGGGCTATCTCCTTCCTTGTGATTAACTGCCTCTGAAAACCTGCTGCTGGATCTATTATGAGTTTATTCTGCCTCAATAGCACATAACATCGTGAAAAAGCAAGCAATATGAGTAGGAATATATATTTTTATTACTGTTTA